TTTACTTTTAAGTATCCCACTTTTTCTACGACATTTTTATGTTGATCACATCTATTTATTTAAACATATTGTAAAATCACAAGCAGTTTCAAAGATATTGCTGTGAAAATATAAAATGAAATATATAATAATTTGGTAATGCAAGCACTGATGTCAAGTTTACACTTCTGTCCAGTATTATTTGGCAATAGAATTTTGCAAATCATAGACATATAAGTATCAAAATTAATTTTATTGACAGTCTGCAAAAATAAAATTACCTAGAGATTTAAGCATTTCACAAACATTGTATTGATGAAAATTTTAAGTTTCCTGGTAAAATATGTAGTTAAATAGGACTGGAAGAGCATTTGTCCATGTCCAATGTGCCTAACGTAGTCTAAATGAAGGAGAGAAATAATTTTGTATAAACTAAAAGAAAAATCACTGTCCTTTTATTTAGTTTTCTTTATTTATATGGAAGGTAACAATTTTGTTCCCCCTAGGAGAAACACGTAATTTTGTCCATTTTAAGAATGAGTATATAATTTCTGCTTAAAAATTTGCAAGGTAGATGCTATTTCATAAAGGAGGAAACGTAGCTTTTTAACCTAATTAGCTCAGATGTTTTATAAATTTTTTGCATCCTTGTAAAGTTCTTAAATACCAGGATTTGATTGTATAAAATACATATACTCCATTCAGGGAGCAAGAAGAGAAAGGCATAACTATATAAATTAAAGTCTAAGGCCCTCCTGAAGAAAATTAAAGAAATAACTTAGACCTTGAGGGAAGCAGAGGACTCCTGGCATGTTAATTTTCTGACTATGGAAGAGAAACAACTCCACAGTTTCAAAATTACTGCCTATCGTTGAAGAACCTATTATCTCTCCTTTCATTTGTCACTTTAAAATCTTCCCTTAAATTCCCTCTTCTGATGAAGGCCAAGATATATAATTCTTGTTTCACTTCTAATTTATTTATTCGGGTTTTTTTTATAGAACCTACTTGATTCCTTTGCCTTGGAGTGATAGTATGCACTGGCAGTGATCTCTCTGTATGCTGTTAGACATGTAAGAAGCATCCAGTGAAGCAACTGGTATTTAATGAATGAAAAAAGAGGCCATATATTACCTACCTTGCAGCCACTTGTGTGAGCAGCTTTCCATAACCATTGTTTTCAGGCTGCATAGCATAATTACCCTATTCAAGTCCTATTGATATATAAGTCATATTCAAATCGTATTGGTACATAAAATAACGACAGCTAGCATCCTCCAAAGGAAGATTTCCAAAAGAACACACTCTATGTGAGTCATACAAAAATAGGAAAGCTAGTAAAAGATTGAGAGATCAGAAGGGTCCTACAAACACAGCAGCATCTTGGCAATGTAAAGTATACCAAGGTGTTTTACAACCTTCATCAATTAAAATTATTCACAGAAAGAAAAAAAATCTTTGTCACTTTTGATTGAATAAATAATTATCGTTTATAATTGTTGCAATGATTGGACCAATCCAGAAAGTCACTGTTCAAGGTATATTTCTAGCTTATAGTGGCTTCTTCATTGTGTACTTGGAAATCTTTATTAACCTTAAATTTACGCTAAATTCATTTTAGGATGAAGGTGACTTTTACTACAATTCTTGTCTGAGGCATGCTTTGCAATATACACATGGTCATCAGCACTTCGAGTGACAGATCATTATCTAATCTGCCATTCCATTTGCACAGACAGTTTTCCAGTAGATTTGACATTGATCATCTGTCCATTTGATTTGTTAACTCCATAAAAATGTGGCTTTTTTTAATAAAATGACTGAGAACTTGCAACTCTGTATAGAAATGCTGTTATATAATATTTTACTTCATCATAAATTTGTTTTCCAGAGAAGTGGCTTTGTATTGTGAAACCAATGAAATTATTTTTCTTTCTCTAGCAACTCTCTACAGCTAAATAAGCCTCTGGAATTTGGGGTTCAAATGTGATTAATTTGACTGACACAAGAAAAGGGAAGCAAGATTGACAGAATGGGGAGATAGAAACAAAATGCATCAGTATGGACATGAACTCCACATATTACAGCATGTATCACAGTCAGTGTCTGTTGGCATGTTCCTCTTATAATAAATCTAATTTTCTTATAGATCTTCTCTTTATCTACCAAACGCTTATTAAAAACCCCCCAAAAATACAAATCAAGCCAGCATATGGCACTAGAAAGAAAATCAGCTCTCCCAAATGATTTTGGGACAACAAAATGTCTAGGCTTACATTTGAATATCATACTATCTAATTTTTAACATTAATTCCATGGCACTTTCACAAAGACTTTTTAAAAAGATCAATATTACAGCCTGCCTATTTCTTCCCTATTCACGCAAAAGTTCACTGATAGCATTTAAGAATGTGCATAAAAGTGGATGAACTTGTGTGCAAATAGCGACATATTTTTTGCAACATAAGTGCATATAGGAAGGAGATTATCCCAAATTTGACAAATGCATTCATAAGTTCTTAAAATTTGGTCATGATCGTTTTTTAGTTGGATTAATTATCTATAATCTAGAAAAAAACCTAAAAAAATACTAAATAATCAAAATTAAGAATAATGAGACAGGGAAATTTAAGATCCAGACCAAGCCAAATACTAATGATGAAAAGAATAAATTATGTTTCCATCTAGCCCCAAATACCCAACCATGTTTCTATGGGCAAAATTGTTTCATAAGAAATATGTATTTTTTTAGCTGGATCAATTTCTTTGCATTTACAGTAAAATTTTTCAAGGCCTGACTAGGTACTTAGACAGGTCTAGCAATTATTTTATTTAATATATATATATAAAAATATCTCAAAATATTATTACCAAAACATGGATTATTTTACTGAAACATCACTGCTATAATAGAAAATTACCAACTCCCTTTTGAAGGAAGAAAAAGTTATTAAAACAGTGAGGGTTGATTAACTGTGGCCTGAAATCTTCAACTGGTCCTTTGAGGCTGCTAGATCCTGTGCTGGACATAGAGGCAACGTTATTACTTTGGATTACATAGCACTGTGTTTCATTTTTATGCATTCCACCTATGTGTGGTCAAGATGTGAGGATTTTTCTGATGTGGGTTTTTGCCACTCTTGTATTACCATCTTCATTTTATTGCAAAAGAGTGATCCATGCCAAAGGTCTGACAAGTGTGGATTTTTTTTCCATTCCCTGTTCATCCTCAAATCTGTTCAGTGCCAGCATAGCACTGTAGCCAAGGGCCTGCTTATTTCCTACTCTCTTTCTTGCTGGAAAATGTACTAAGTAGATACCTCAGCTTCTTAAATTTGTATCGTGGGTTTGTATTGCTTCTCTTCACAGATGTGTAAAAAATGAAGTGGTAATTTCGTTGTGCACTGTTATGAACCAAAAATGCCACCATGTATAAAAGAAGGAGGATGTGTCTTCTTATGTTTAAAGCATTTGAAATATGTAATATTTAAATAATAATCTATCTTTTAAACATATTTTTAGTAAATATTTACATGCTTTTTATGTAATTATCATCTCTCTCACATCATGCCATTCTTTAGCAAAAGTCAGCTACCACTCATATTAGTTGGGAAAGGCCCTTGGAAAATTACTGTGATTGTCCTGGTTTCTTCAGAAGAGGTTTAACCCTGAACTAGATGAATATTATATGTCAATGAAACTTCTCAAAGACTTCTTACTAGTCAGCAGAATTATTTTACAAAATACTTAAAAATTAAACACTAAATTATAGTTATAACTTAAATGGCATTCACAGTTGTATAAAGATTAGTCTAATGCATAATGGTATTATTCTAGTATTAAAAAATATATATAAACAAGTCAGGTCTGGAGATGCCTCAAAAAAAAAAAAAAAGGCAAACATATTGATTCTGTGAAAGTTCTTGATACTTGCTACAGTATCTCTTCTTCTCAGAGATGTCCCATCTAAGTAAAATATAACTAAACATTCTCATATGTGTATAAACAAAAATGCTTACTATACCTGTGTTGTTTTTTTTCTTCTGTATAAAGGTACAATGTCTTGGTTTAACTCGAGCAATAAAGGCAAACAGTAGCAGCTCTTTGATTCAACCTATGCCATAACTTTCATACTTACCATGATCAAATTTTGTACACCTAGAAATTACAGTAGTTCATGCTTGTGACAATGTTTTTATAAATGTCTCAACTACGTTTTGAATAGATATTGCTTCCATAAAATGGATACTGTATTTAAATAAAATTCCTTATAACACTCATGTATGTTTTGCAATCATGCATTGCAACAAGATTATAAAAATATAATGAGAAAGAACAGATAATTAATAAAATGAAACCCAAAACTCCTCTGATCTGGAAACTCTCCATGATGGTTGGCTGGGCTTTTTAATAGCTTTCAGAAAATGTTTCTGCCTTAGAAATGAAAAAATATCTTTTGAAAAGATACTTTCTTTGGTTTTAGTGAACATAGAAAAGCTTGGTTTAGAATATGATAATAAGTGCAGACATTCAATTTCTAAATTCCCTTCAGAAACATTTTGCATTTTTTCTGCAAGAAAGCCATACATTATTTCTGGTCAGTTTTTAATTACTATTGTATATTTTGAGTCAAAGACTGTTGTTGTGAACATTAACTCATAAACCAAGTAAACTTTATGTAACCTGTATATGATTTGCTATTGACGGCCTGGAGAGGATTAACAGTGTGAAAACAGTAACACCAAAACTAACTTTAAACATCTTGGGAATACGTTCATCCTGTCACATCTATAATCAAATCAAAGTAAAGCTTTTCAAGATTTGCTATTTTAAATAGGTACTAAAAGCTATTATGTATTACAAAGTAAACTCTTAAGCGGTGTGTGGGCCCACATATAGCCCAGACTTTATCTTCCTAATCTGGTGATGAATACAGCAGGCCACCATCTGGTGTGCGTGTACATCAACAACTACAACACAGCCCTACAATTTAATAATCACAAACTTTAACTGCTACTTACCACTTATTTCCAGCTACAGAAGGTCTCTGATTTAAGCTGTCAAATAAACGTAGGAAAACAGCATAAGATTAACTGTTTTTGTTCCGGATTGTGCTTCGGATGGAGGCAGTGAAGCAGGGAGAGCTCTGCTGTTGCTACAGAAACCTGACGCTGAGGATTTAATGACAGCATCAGATGGTATTGTACTAGAGATTGTCTGCTTGAGGGACTAGACAGCATGCTGCTGATAAGAAATGAGAATGGATTCCAAACCTTTTCAGTTTGCTTTATCACAAGAATCCTTTCATTGCCTCAAATATATTAATTTGATAGCAGATATAATATAAGTATTTATATTAATGTTAGAAAAAAAATGTGACATGTAATCTGCCTGGAAGATCTCAACACAGGTAATTAATCTTCCTAAACCCTTATTCAATATGAAAAGTTAATACAATTAATACCGTATTTTTGTCTGATAAATATTTAACTCATATATACATATGATTCCTCAAATAATTTGTCTTTAAGCTGACAACTTATACAAATGAAGACATTTTAAGTTCATGTGTTTTAAGTTCATTAATTACTGTTAAAAAAGGGTTCCCAAGAGGAAAGATTTCCAACAAATTCCAGATTCACATGGGCCTGGAACTATTAAATTTCAGGGATTTATTTCATATTCAGTCATTTAGTTTTGTAAATATTTTTATTTTGTGATAAAAATTTTAAAATACTATTACAATTCAGAAACAGTATTTCTGAACACAGGCAGCTTGAACTGCAAAGTATCACTTGTCAAAATGCATGTATTTGGCTGGTCAACATATTCTTCTAAAAAGTCTCTTTCTACTTCATAAATCTTTCTGAATTTCATTTATGTCTGTGGTTAGTTGATGGTTTGTAGATTAAAAAATATAATCAAAGTATTCTCTGAAAACAAAACCCATGATTCTTCTATCAAATATGTCTCTTTTTGTTAGTTCATCTGAGTTCCAGGATACTTGTTCATGAGGAAGTTTATATAAACACACAGAAATAATATTTTATATTCAATTGAGGGTCTTCTATTCCAAGGAATTTTACAAACATATTTCCCACTATGTAATACTTGAAAGTCTGCTGATAATACTCACAAAAGCAACTTCTTTCTTTCAAAAATATGGCCACTGCAACTTTATTTTCCAAATAGAGCAGAAAGGACTGCCATTTCAAAGGTCTAAACCAAACATCACACAAGACCATTTGATCAATATGGCTTTGAAGGTTAAAGATTGATTCAGTCCTACTGGGATTTAAGGCTGTATCTCCTGGAGTCTTAGGTATTTTACACATGAAGATAGTCCCATCAACAGACCTCACCCTTAGCATCAAAGAGAATTTTTGATTATGTCAATAGAAGGATCAAGCAATGCCTCTACTTACTATCCCTAAAAAGTCCCAAGAAAACAAAACAAAACAAAACAAAACAAACAAAACAAAACAAAAAGCAAAACAAAAAACAAACAAACAAACAAACAAAAATCTCCCACCAAACTAGCCAGAGCAAGGAGAAGCCTATGAGTTTCCTTATTATGAATTTCCCCATAATATTTTCACTTTAGATCCTAGATAATACTGGGAAAAACATATAGATTGTTGATCCATAGCCAAATTAAAACTTCATGGCTGATGTTTTCTCTCTATTGGTTTTGGAGTAAGATAGGAAGTTCAAGATTAAAAAGTAGGGTTATCTTCAAGAACAAAAGCAAAACCAAGAGATTAATTATAATTTGGACTAAGTATAGGTAATCTTGGGTTAAATGCACGAATGCCTTTTTAATTTAACATTTAAAAGCAATCAATATAAACATTTTGGGTTATTTTTAAGTAAACAGTGTTTTAAATTGAAAAGAATTTCATTTTGAACAACCAAAATAAAATATGTTAACATTTCACCAATAAAATATTTTCTAACTTTTTGGAAAATTCTCCTATATTCTAGTCTGTGCTGCTCAGCAATTTCTAAGCTTTTTGGTTTAGACCAAAACTTTTCCCCAGTTCCTTTTTGGGCATATGCAATACTTGTCAAAACCAATAAATTAACCCCAGAGTGTGTTTTGTGAAATAGCTTTGAAGACCTCCAAGCGAAAACATTCCCAGAATACACCATTACAGGATATAACATTTAAAAGAATACATGGTATTTGAGCATAAAGTACTGCTTGTGCATTCACCTGTTTTCATCTTAAAGTCTGAAAGAAGATCTTTGAAGAGCCTTCAAGAGAACTGTTTAGGAAGCCATAAAAGAAAATAATTCTAAATATTTTTGAACTAGGGGAAATTATTAATGGAAATTACCAAGCAAAACAAGTTAAAAATAATTGACATGACAACATTTAAGACTAATGTAAAAATGTAAAGGAAATATTTTTAGAGTAATTTCTTTAAAAATGCATATCTGGTTTTTGAAATCTCTTGTAGTCCATTATGTTCAAAAGAAAAAATCACAGAGAGACTGAAATTATTTTATATTAATTTTTGCTTTTAATCTTTGTGACCTATGGTGTCTTGGTATCTTTTATTTTTCTTCTGATTTTCAGAGTGTGTGTGTCATAAAAAGTGTTAGAATGGCTTTATTGTCTCTGTAAAAACCAAGGGAACTCGCTTCTTGAAAATAACCAGGTCTATTTAGACAATGTCTCAGAGACTACATGACTTTGCAAGAAAAGAACATGCAAGAGTTAGAGTGAGAGTGGAGGTCTGAATTTTGAGTGGAGGCTGAAAAATTGCTGAGAAGACTGAGCAGCACAAAGGCCACAAACAGGCCAAGGGAAAATCATGCAGCTGTCACTAGAATCAAAAAGACACTGAGCAGTTGAAACTAATCTTAGGAAAGAGGAACTCTAAGTGATTATATGCACAAGAAGGGGCAGAGCTGCTTATAAATACTTACCATTTCTATTCTCTTTGTCTCTCTGAGTTTGTTTCTTATTCAAAATATTCCCTACATCAGAGACTTTTGAATAATGTCTTGTACTTTTTAGCTGATAGACATTTGTTGTTCTTTCGTTGTTGTTTTTTGTTGGTGGTAGTGGTGGTGGTTGTTATGGAACTCCTAAGGGAAAGATAAACACTTCTATGTTTTCAGTCTTGTACATCAAAGCCTGAAGGATCCTGAAGTAACTGTTAGGTGAAATTCAGATCCTTGTCTTTAGAATTTTACCAGCAATGGATGCCATAATGCTTTTCTGAATTTTAGTTAATAATTGAATTCTTGCTTCCACTCTAAAGATTCCATACATAATTGTAGTGGGACTGTGAGAAATATGACATTAAAAAATATGTTGGAAAGGGTATGACAATAAGGCATACTAAAACATTTTGGTTCTTTTTGTGAATATTATTGCTAGATATCATGGCTCGAATACAAATTGTCCTGCTTTGAAGAAACTATTATTGTCTATTTTAGAGGAAAGACCATTGTGAGACATATTAAACACCTCAGAATATCACTGAATTCATATTAAGAAGGATTAAATGGATTTGGTTAAAATAGGCAATCACCTATACAGTATGACAGAATTGTTCTCTTTTAAAAGCATTATACTTTGCAAAAATGTACAAAAGAAAACCTGAAAAGTTATGCTAAGTATCCTTAAATGTGATTTAATCATACTTTGGAAAACCAGAATATTATCAAATTACCCAAAGCATGTCCAGAGGAGAAACTATCAAGCTTATTAGAGGGATGGAGCACCTCTCCAATGAGGAAAGGCTGAGACAGTTGGGATCGTTCAGCCTGGAATAGATTAGGATTTGGATTCACCTAATTGCAGCCTTCCAGTACCTAAAAAAAAGCCTGGAAAATGGAGACTATTTACCTAAGTATGTTGTGAAAAGACGAGGGAAGATGGCTTAAAATTGAGAGGCAGTAGATTTAGATTAGATATTGGGAAGAAATTCTTTACTGTGAGGGTGATGAGACACTTGAACAGGTTGCCCAGAAAAGTCGTAATGCCCCATTCCTGGAAGTGTTCAAGGCCATGTTGGCCAGGTCTCTGAGCAACCTGGTCTAGTGGAAGGTGTCCTTGCCTATGGAAGAAGGGTTGGAACTAGAGGATCTCTAAGTTCCCTTCCCATCCAAACCATTCTACAGTTCTGTGATCCTTATATTTGGCTCAATTTACCAAGATAATTAACATTCCAAGCTGTATGTTGTCCTCTTAGGAAATTGCTTCACTATTAATTCTTATGTGTATCATTTTATTAATTTCTATCATTCAGAAACTTTTGATTAACTTAATCATTTTCTCATTTAGAAACTTTGGGGAATTCAGAACTACTACAGCACAATTATACCAGCTACAGATTAATATGAAAAATGAAAGTAATAGAGGTATAATCAAACACCCAGGCTAAGCAAGAAAATTTAGATACTTCAAGTTTTGAATATGTAGCAGCAGATGATCAGTAGTTTGTGAATAATACAAATGTTCTGATCTAGAAATTTAACTTGATTTTGGTTTATGTGTTTCAGCTCTATGAGCACAGTCAAATATACCAAATGCAGTATAGTAGACTGGAGTTTTCTAGTACTGAAACTCAGAGTCAGTGCTATATCTATTATTCATGTAATTTCTACTCTTATAGATATTATAGACACTAAAATAGATACTAAATTACATTACAGTGTGCCTGCGTGTGCATACTACTTACAGTTGGTCAGAAAACTGGTAAATATACTGAATTACAAAAAAATCTTTTTCGATCTACAGGCATAGTACCTATGTCAAATGAATGGATATATTAATGGAACATTAAATTCTTTTGGTTGAGTACTGTGCCACATGGGAAGAATGGGGAGATATGTAACATCTAAATATTCTCACATGCATAACCATTTCTCTGAAGTCTATCTATTCATCGTAACAAAAATGATATATAGATATATTTGGGGGTTCCCAGCTTTCAGCCACGTATAATCCTACACTTGGTTGTCTCCTGCACTAGGGTCTAATTAAGTGTGATATGAAAAATGTGCCTTTTTTTTTCCCCATACATGTGTGCAAATTGTCTGG